CCCCTTAGCCACAGCTGCCCAGATCTAAATACTTTTTTTTGCTACCTGGATTTTATTATTTTATTTTCTTAGCCATTATCACTCTTATCAGCTTTAACTGCACTGGCCTACAACAAACAAACACACTGATAAAAGGTGTTACCAGATTATTAAACTCTTTATATTTGAATGTAAAAATCTAAAACTAGGTGCATCATTTATGTCACTATAATAATCAAAGAGGAACCAGGTTTAGAAAGAACACTCTGGGTTGAGATTTCACAGCTGGTCTTTTAAATTTTCAAATAATTAAGACAATAACCTCTCTGGTCAGCTGACTCTCCAAGCTTGTGGCAGAATCAACAGGGAAATGAATCAGCAAATAATCTGATCATTAGTCAATCAGTTTAATTCATCAAGCAAAACATCTGCTTCTCAAATGTGATGATTTGATTTATGATAGTAAACTTCAGAGACTAAGGTTTCAGAGACTGAATTACAGACTGGACAATGTCAGACATTTGATGAGGTTATTTGGTGAATCTGTGAATATTCATGTGTAGATAATTTGTTCCCTTTCAAAAGACCAGACAAATTATTATTTATTACATTTCATTGATTCCCAACCCATTAATCCTATTTTAGAGATGTGTCCATCTCAGCACTTATTTTCATGTTTAAAATGTTACGATGATCCAAAGAACACACGGCCTTAGCGATGAAAATAAATCTCAAGTAATAAACAGTAGATTTCCTTAAATGCAGCATTACAGCTGATGATAGGTGCTACACAGGATACTGCAGCTAATAAAAGTGTATTATTCAACAGAGGATTGTTCTGTTTCATTTTCATTGGCAACACCTGGAGCGGCGTTGTGGTCACCCTGAAACTGAAAAGTTACTGGTTTTGACCACAGTCCCAGCTGAAGCATATACGTGTTCAAGGCTTCACCTCAAGGCCTCAAGGACGGATTTTGACTGTTGGTAGATTATTGGTAAGATAATCTGATCAAATATAAACACAGTTGCTAAGATTTATTAAAGGAAGTAATGATAGTGAGGAAGTTATGATATTTCACTGTGTTTCAGGTCATCTGATCCATGCATAGTCTTACCTTAATGAAGGCTGCTCTGAGCGTCTGTGCTGCTGATAGGTTGATCCTCTCCAGCTGAGGGAAGAACACACAACTTCACTGAAAAAGTCTGGACATAACATCTGACCTAACATTTGACTAAAGGCAAAGTTACACTTTAAAACAGATACAAAACAGGATTCATGGTGAATTTACAAAGTGGACAACACAAAATAGAAATGACATACATTTCCCCACATGTTAACACTTAATTGCTGTGGAGTGACCAGAGTTTCAACAACAGATTCAGTGGGGATGAAAGAAAATAACGGTCAAACCAATCATCTTAGAATGAATAGTATTTAACACAATAGTGACCGAGCAGTCAAGAGTGCTCCAGCAGAGTATTTCCAAAGCCAGCTTCTGTCAGCACTGGATGTTTTACCTCGTTGAAAACTGGGTACATTACGGCGTACAGCGTCATGGATACCATGGAGTTTGTCTCCGCTTCATTCTTCATCTCCTCCATTGTCATCCTCCAGGGAGGAGCAGCTCTTGGTCAAACTGTGAGGAGGAAAGTGCAGCTCACACACACTCACACATACACTCACTCACACTCACTCACACACACTCTGAAAACCACAAAAGCTCCAGAGCGCCAAGAGCCTGGAAAGAAAAAAAAAAAGAAAGACTATTGATATTGATTTTTTTAACAGAGTATTTACTTACACTATATCGATTTATTGGTGCTGATCCTGACATGATGAAGTCGTTCAGGTGACGGCCATGATCACACATCCACATCAAATACCATTCACCCGGTCAGTGTCTATACAATTCAGTGTGTCAGCTATTTATTGCTCATGTTCATTATTCAGCCACTGTGACTTGTAGCTGGTGGCACATCCCTCACTCAACTCATGTTACCATTACCATTCATAAAAATGATTCCACTCAGTTCTGCACAGACCGGTAAAATATTTTAAATGTAGGAGAGCATCTGTATCCAATCAGTACCTGGTATCAGCACATACCCTGAGTTTAGACATCGGAACGTGTATAACATTTTACAGATAAAACACAAACTACTCAACTATGATACCGACTGTATCCACATAATCTCCAACATAAATCTGTGCTGCATATTCATTTGCAGAGTATTTTTATTCGTTTTCTTCTACAAATTTAAAGAGAGAAAAATGCCTCTTATTATTTCCCACATACCAATGTCTTAACTTCCCCGAAATAAATCTAACAAAGAAAAACATCCAATCCTTATATTCAAGAACCAAGAAACTAGGGCTGGGAGAAAAAAATATATCAAGATAAAAAATGTCACATCAGTATGTTTCTGATTTAATGGCCAGCGAATGAAAACCACTTTCCAAATATTTAACAAATTAACAAAAAAGCATTTTATCTATATTTTTTAACCTTTATTATATCGCTATTGATGAAAATAATATTGCGACAATTATTGATAGTGTTTTGTTGCCAGCCTTCTAGAAACATTTGTTTAAGTCCATTATTACAATAGTTTCTGATCAAATATCTAATGATCCACTTCTGGTTGTATCTTAGTAAGCAGCAGGAAGAGGTGACATGTTGAAGCTGGAGGAGGGAGCGGCAGCTGCAGTGTTACAGATAAATCACCTGGCGACTGACAGCCAGACTAGAGCTACTTCAACATGTGTGAAAGTGTTTGAGCATCAAGAAAACAAGGACGACAACAACAAACAATGGCTCGATTCCTGTTTCTAAGACGTTACGTTGTACTGTCAGAGTCTGGGGCTGGAGGACATGACTGGGAAGTGATGTTTAGCACAGATGCGAGCTAACTTTAAAGCTTAGCTTCCCGGCTAGCTGTGGACATGTGTCATTAAGAGTTGAATTATTGTCAGAGATGAACGATAACATCACGGTTTGTCAGCTACAGTGTCAGACACGACGGCTGCCTGACTGGAAGGCTACTACACCAGGTAGCTACTCGGCTAACTGGGCATAGCTCCCGAGCTGCTCGTGTGAGGCTAACTGAAGTCAGCTCTGTTAATCCTAAAATCACAGAATATCAAAAATTCAGCGTCGGGACGATAATCCGAGGGGAAACGCGACAAACGAAGCTCGATGTGACCGTGTGAGATTCACAACCGAGGCCTGTGGCCGAGCTGATCGATGGTAGCGAGCTGCTAGCAGCGAACAGCGTAGCCTACGTGCTAGCATTAGCAAATCGTACATTCGCACTTGATGGTTGATCTGCGGCGCGTCAACGAACCGCTACGTGTCACATTTGCGAGTCGGTGCACACGTGTCAGATGTGGACTCATATCTACCTGTGGCCTGACTTGTTAATCGGGCTGGTTCCGCCGTCGGTCGCCTTTTAGCTGCCGTGTTTTCTTTACAACTTAAGGCGGAAGTTTTTCAGGACTGGCCTCAGCGACATCTTCCGGACCGTTGCTACGTGAACACACGCCCTCCAATCAGAGGGCGGGCGGATGCGTCGAGCGACCGTGACGTCACATGAGATATCTGCGTGTTTTTCAAGTGTCTGTTCTATTCTGTTTTTAATGCAGATTGTTTAGGGAGGAATAATCTATAACCCTGAAGCTATAGATTCCCACTTTACAATCAGGCACAGAGTTATGAATACTGGGGTCTGGAATAGATTGCTATAGTTAGTATATCTCAACATTTTGTACTTTAAGGTGTTTGGGGGGTGTCAGATGTTGGAAACGCTTAAATTATTACTTCAAACTCCGGAAACCGAGAAAATCTAAAGGGATAGTTGACCCAACAATGAAAATTCACTCATTATCTACTTTGCCAATGGAGGGGTGGCTGAAGTGACCGAGTCTGCAAAAAAACTTTTGGAGCTTTGCAGCCGAATCCAAATCAATTGAAGTAAATCGAAACCACTACTTCAAACATTAAAAAAACCACACAACATGCCTTCACACTGCTCCTGTGGTGTCATCCAAGTGTCCACAAGCCCGGACATTCAAATTCAACTCGAAACATGATCATCTACACCATGTTTTTAGCCTTAAATATCTTCTGTTGTCCTCCGCAGCCGTGTTCGTTTGCGTCGGAATAGTGGTGAGTAAGGTAATTCCCCCCTGATCCATATCCACAGTCCCCATATCTGCCCTTAACATTGAACACATGTCAAGAGGTCAATGGCTTGTCTGTCTTATTGTGGAGGAATGTGGAGTTCATCTTACAGACTGTCAGTTCAGTTGTCTGGTTTCTGTCACTCTGATGGGTGAGAGGAGTGCAGGCTCCACGTGGATGAAGCCCTCCAGCAGCTGGTCTGCAAATTTGGCATGGGAGAGAGAATACTCTGTTTTTGATTTAGTTAAATGAATGGAAAGTTTAAGTCAATTAACTCATTGCAATTACATAGAAACAAATACTGAGTAATATGTAATAACATGTTAATTACTACATCGTAACAGTGTTATTACATAATTATACTGAGAACTCCTGTAATATGGAATTATTACTTCCAAGTACTCATGTTGTTGTAATAACAACCAAATACTTATGTAATACTGTATTGTTAAATACTGAATACTCATGTAATTTTCCTTTATATTATACTTATTGATAATGTAGATAACATTGTTGTTAACTTCCTCTGTGAAAATACATGTGTTGCTCCTGCTCTTGCTGCAGTACTTTATATTATACTCATAGATAATGTAGATAACATCCTCTCGTAACATGCATGTATTGCTCCTGCTCTGAGTGCAGTACTTTATATTATACCTATTGATAATGTAGATAACATCGTTGTTAATATCCAGTGTGAACATAGACGTGTTGATCCTGCTCTTGGTGCAGCAGGAACCATTAGTTTAACTGCAGCCTGACAACTGGCACCGACGTGGTTGTCATTCACGCAGGTTATGTAAGACGGATGGAGCGCTCTGATTGGCTGGCTGTGGTGACGTCGTCAAGCGAGCGGAAGATCATCACTTCCACGCACGAGCTGTGGAGAGTTTAGCGCAGTGGCTTTTATCCGGAGCAGCAGGAGACGAAGACTGGAAATTCCCCATCGCATAAACGAGAGAAAGCAGTTGGACTTATTAACGACGCCACGTGAAGGCATCTCCGGGTGAAGGTGAGCCGGTGTTCGTGTTTTTACGTCAGAAGTGCGTTTTATTAATTTACTGACTTCTCCATTTCTGATGACATAACAAGCATGCTAACTATTCCCTTCAGTTATGAGGGAGATAAGGTGTGTGTGTGTGTGTGTGTGTGTGTGTCTGTGTGTGTCTCATCATGTGACGAAGGCAGCCTGGGGCCGGTGGGAGGGTTTTCAGGAAACGCAGCTGAAAGACAGACATTGAGGTCTGAATGAAATCTACGTGTGTTCTGTTTGTTTCCAGACTCCTCAGACATGTCGGTCAACATTCATGTGAACAGCCCCAATGTGAGCTACACAGATACTCACATAGTGGCTCAGTATCAGTATCACACCTCATCGGTGACCAGAGAGGGGAACAAAGTGACGGTGAGTCAGTGTACTCTTCACATAGTGGCCCATTGTCTCTTATCCACACGAGTACTCAGTGATCAGGAATGAATACTGAGTACTCATCACGCCATAATGATTGATGTAATACTGGGTACTCTTCAGGCCAGAATGAAGTAATACTGTGTACTCATCACGCCATAATGACTGAAGTAATACTGAGTACTCATCACGCCACAATGAATGAAGTAATACTGACAACCAATGGCGGTTACTCCCCGGGCAAGACGCCATCCGAGCCCCCCCCCCCCCAAAAAAAAGTTAGCTAGTTTTTTATTATAACTATCTACGTGAGGCAATTCTCCACAAAAACAGTGCAAGTTATCAGAACTTAAATAAATACACACTATATACAAAAAGTGGCAAATATATACAATCAGATATATAAAAAAATATAGAATAAAAATTCTAAAATCCTTCATCACACACATTTGAAAACATACTAAAGAAAATCTAATGCACCTTCTCAGCAAGCAGTGGCGCCTGCAGGGGGCGCCAATTTGCCAATTTCCCACACACTGTGACGTGACAGAAAATAGAAAACCGTTTTGCTGCGCAGATGATATATTTTTTTCCAAGTGCTCGTGCCGCCCCCCACATGACATGAAAAAATGCCGCCCGGGCCTAAAACCGCCACTGCGGACTACTCAGGCAATAATGTAAGAAGTAAAACTGAGTACTCATGTAATGATTGACCACATAGTATTCATGTCATAATGTAGGAATTAATACTGTGCAATCAGGCAACAGATTATACTTGTATTTAATTATTATCATAGGAATTACTAAACAGTACTCAAAGTACAATGCAGTAATTACTACAAAATACTCATGTTATATTTTTAAATAATAGTTATTGCGTGAGACTGGAATAGAATTATTATTTAATAATGCTAATGTAATAACATAAGAACTAGTACTCATATTGCCATGAAGTAATTACTATAGAGTAATCATGCAGAAATTGAGTGTTCATGTAAAAATATATTTCTGAGTTCTTGTGTGATAACATTATACTACTGAGTACTCATGTAATACTGTAATGATAACTATTAGGTACTCATTTAATAACTTCTAGGTTCTCATAATATTGTTGTAATAAGAGTATTCATGTCACTCTGTTGTCAAGGTCAGTGTGGTCCCATTGCAACACAGTCTCTATTTATGTGTGCACATCTACAATCTTCCTCTAACTCTGCTCCATACGGAAAACAGGTGACCCCCTGCGCCACTGAGATGACGTTTCGCACTGAGAGGCGTGTGCCCCAGCTGGGTGTGATGCTTGTGGGCTGGGGCGGCAACAACGGCACCACAGTCACAGCAGCGGTTCTGGCCAACAAGCAGGGTCTCACCTGGAGGACTAAGACTGGAGTGAAGGTGAGCAGAGCAGCACCAACGCAGATACAGACAAGGAATCAGCTGCTGGTTTACATTCATTCTGCTGATCCACAGAACAATGTCACTTAGTATTTGTGATGTCTGGAGTTAAAGGAGATATATGATGTTTATCAGCTTTTCTTTCCTCTTGTGTGTTATGTTAAGTTTTTTTGTGTATATCAAAGTAATGCAAAGTTAAAAAGCTCAAAGTCTGAGGTATAGGGAGATCCTCTTTCCAACAGATGACACTGCTCCTGAAGAACACCTCGTCGTCCGGTCGATACTTCAGGAAAATTGTGACGCATTTGACTCCCATTATGGGGGGGGAGCTAAAACCAAGAGTTACAGACAGGGACTGAAAAGAGAAGCTGCAGCAATGGACAGTATGAGAACAGTGTTTGCTGAACATTAGAGCGTGTGAAACTTTTCAAGTTAACCCAAATTATATTATAATAACCCAAATTAAAATGATGAACCTCAACATGAGCAGAATTTGTCCTCCTGTAACTACTGGATCCTAGGTCACTTCAAATACATTCATATGTTGAAGTAGATGCAAATCACTGGCACACCACATTTATTGTTTTTGAAAGTGTGATTTGTGAGGGGAAAAAGTTGAGAGGTGAATAAAGCCTTTATAACCAGGATGTGAAAACCTGAGGCTAACACCAGTGAGTGAAGAGAGAAACCTCCAGTATGTCCCCTGATACAGTGGTAGAGGCTCCTTAAAAGTGGATTATTCTGACATGTTCAGTCGAGTGTTAAGAGCTTAACTGATCCTGCTCTCTGAGATTTCCCTTTATATGGACATGTATTGTTACCTCTATGACCTGGTTCCTGTGATTGCCATTTTTGCCATTTTCATTTGGTTTATTTGTAATAACCAGTAAAAAATAATCTTCTTTTCTCTCCTCTCTTTTCCTCAATTCTTTAGAAAGCCAATTACTTTGGCTCCCTCCTGCAGGCCTCCTCTGTTTGTCTGGGATCAGGGCTCGAGGGCGACGTCAATGTGCCCTTCCGTGACCTCCTACCCATGGTGCACCCTGATGATATTGTTTTCGACGGTATGGACAATTGTAGATTTTCTGTTCAAGGTTTAACCTCTGAGACAGAAACTGAGAGGTGAATGTGTATGTATGTGAGAGGACGAGTGTTAACAGCAGGATAATCTGAGCCCCTCCACTAGGTGAAGATTAAGTTAAGCACTTTTTTTTTTACTTGAAGTATGTTTGTGTTTTTCAGGCTGGGATGTCTCCTCTATGGACCTGGGTTGTGCAATGGAGCGAGCTCAGGTTCTCGACTGGTCTTTACAAGAGCAGCTGCGACCACACATGAGCCGCATGAAACCCAGACCGTCCATTTATATCCCAGACTTCATTGCTGCAAACCAAGAGAGCAGAGCTGACAATGTACTCCCTGGGACCCTGGCAGAGCAGGTACTAGACTGTTTTCAGAGCAGAGAGAGCACAGGAGTAAATAAATAATAAATAAATAAGGATTTCTGGTGCACTTAATTATTCTATTAATGAACCATGTCAATGAGTTAGCATGCACATCGACAGAGCCCTGGGACTGGCTCTCTGGCTCTACATGGAGCATGCAGCCATCATTAATGCTATTAATTCCACTTGAGCTTTTCCTGGTCTACAGCCATTTATTCCACTGTAGACTTGTGTTGTTCCTGTTGCCATTTTTAATTTGACTGAGAAAATAAACCATCCTCCAGGTGGAGCAGATCAGAGCCGACATAAGGGACTTCCGTCTGTCAAGTGGTGTGGACAAAGTGATCGTTCTGTGGACAGCGAACACTGAGCGTTTCTGTGATATCATACCAGGGGTCAATGACACAGCCAAGAATCTGCTAGCTGCAATCAAGGTGAGACCAGATTCATAAAACATACATACAAATCATGAAGCTGGACTATGAAAGGCTGTAATTGTGCAGAATTGTGTTGTCCTGCAGCCATGAATCATCCATTCAACAATAAATTTCTCCTAATGCCGAGGACTAAACAGTAATCCTCCATCACATTTAGTGATTATGAAATCTTCGAGGATGAAGAGCTTAACACTTCACTGTGTATTTGTGAATGAAATTCCATAATGAGTCTGAAAAAGTCAGCTATTCCATTTTACATCAGATCAGGGGGAGGAAAATTATGATTTATGCCTCTTGGGGGAGTTTTTATTTTATCTCCAATCTTCAGCAGGCTTGTACTGCTGTCAGCAACGATAATCGTCTATGTCACAGACTTATGATCTTCAGCAAATAGCTAAATGTTTGATAGGCATGAAGTTGACAATAGAGTTGCTCTCTGGAGATTATATGAAGAGATTCTCAGGGGAAATGTAGTGTCGAGCTTTTCTCTTATGTGTCATATGATGATACGCTTGGTTGTAGCCATTTATCTGATTTCTTTTTCTTTTTTCTATAACCATCAGACTGGAGCTGAGGTTTCTCCCTCCACTCTCTTTGCAGTGGCCAGCATTCTTGAGGGCTGCGCCTACATCAACGGCTCCCCGCAGAACACTTTCGTCCCGGGGGCCATCGAGCTGGCGATGCAGAAGGGTGTGTTCATTGGAGGGGACGACTTTAAATCCGGTCAGACTAAGATCAAGTCAGTGCTGGTGGACTTCCTGGTCAGCGCCGGGATCAAGGTGACAGAAAGGATGCATGGAGTGAAGGAGGGTGGATTATTGAAGTAATGAATGGATACTAAACAGACTGAGTCACCCTGAAGGATGATTCTGTATTTGTAAAGTACAGGGGGTAATTGTACTTCAGAAACTACTTATGCAGTAATTAACAAATAGGATTACTAACTGGTGTCAGGCGGATCTTCAGCGTAGTAATTGTCCTGATAACCACATCATTACCAGCTACTATGAGGCTTAATGCACAGTACACCCCTCCCACCAACCCAAGTCAGCTAAATTACATTAACACCACTTGCTGCTGTTGAGGGTGCATGAAAACAAATGTGTTAGTCCATCCATCCATTATCTATATCAAACAAAGTCATTTTAACATGTTCCTCTGCCTTCGACAGCCAACCTCTATCGTCAGCTACAACCACCTCGGCAACAACGATGGGAAAAACCTGTCGGCTCCGCAGCAGTTCCGCTCCAAAGAGATCTCCAAGAGCAACGTGGTGGACGACATGGTCCAGTCAAACCCCATCCTCTACCAGCCAGGAGAGAAGCCTGACCACTGTGTGAGTGACACGGACGCAGAAAGAGACTGAGCTCCACGTGGACGAAGACGAAAAACATCTGATCGAACTTATCTCTGTGTGTTGTTTCAGGTGGTGATTAAGTACGTCCCTTATGTGGGGGACAGCAAGCGGGCCATGGACGAGTACACCTCTGAAATCATGATGGGCGGGCATAATACTATTGCTCTGCACAACACCTGTGAGGTCAGTGGTTACTACCTTTTGTAATAAATATGTCAGAAATGAGCAAAATCTCAAAATTTCATAATCAAAACAATTTCTGACATAAGAGTCCAAACTGCTGACTGCCACTAAACACAACATGCTGAGCAGTTGTCCCTTATCTGACTGTAGTTGAGGAGAAGGAGGCTCAGGAGCCAGAGTTTACTGTTAATCCTTCTTAGCAGGTTTTGCAGCTAAATTAAAGTTACAGTAAATCTGCGGGGGCACTGACATAGTTATTTCATGTTCCAAGGGCAAACCTGCTTTCACCCGCTACTATTTATTACATCACAAAATATAACATCCCGTTGGGGCCTGGTAAACTGTATGTGCCTGCAATCAGGGAAAAAATCGGGTTCAGGACAGGCTCGCTCTCTAGTGTAAAACTGAAAAACTCTATGGAACTCCAAATGGGGGCACTGCTGCAGTTTAATCGACAATGCAGAAGACTCTGTCTTATCATAGCATAAGTGCTTTACATACTTTCTCTTTCCTCCGTTGCAATATTATACTCATTTCATCTGTCATCCATTGCACAGGACTCTCTACTAGCCAGCCCCATCATCCTGGACCTAGTGATCCTGACAGAGCTTTGTCAGCGTGTGACTGTGCGGCCTCAGGGGGAGGAGGACTTCCAGTCCTTCCACAGTGTCTTGGCGCTGCTCTCCTTCCTCTGCAAGGCCCCACTGGTACCATCAGGGACCCCGGTCATCAATGCCTTCTTCCGCCAGAGAGCCTGCATAGAAAACGTCATGAGGTGTGGATCACTTTCACTAGAAGACATTGGTTTCTTTACCTAAGGCTGCCATACACAATTTAGTAAAACTTTAACATTCAATAGAAGAGAGATATTGATGCAAGACTGCTTCTTTGTCTTTTTCAGAGCGTGCCTCGGCCTCCCTGCTCAGAATCACATGCTCCTGGAGCACAAGCTGCAGAGAAATTTCCTGCCTCCACATTCCACCTACATCAACGGTGAAGTAGGGGCTATGAAAAAAGCTGTCTTCACAAACGGGAACCACAGATCAACAAATGGCTTCCATGCACATGTTGATGATGAAGCATGTGCATTATGATTGAAGACACAATACTACTGTCTTAAATACAACTGTCACTGAAACAAAATTAATACCTTGTTTGAAAAAGAACAAAGGCCCTTGTTGATCAAGCTGTCATCACAAAAAACAAGTTCGCTATCCCCTTGACATTTAGGTGAGATGCATTTAAAATCATAGGTATTCTGAGTATGTTGTCCTGTTAGAGATAGACATGGTTTTATGCAGAATTAACTTTATTTTATTTTGGTTGTTTTAGGTGTTTCTAACATTGTTCCAGTAGTAATCCATCTACGATATATTAATGTACAGTACTTGATAAATGAGAGGCATCTTCGTATCTTGTGTTACTGTCTATCATTACCTCAGATTTCTCCAAATGTTCTTGTGAAGCTGAACTGTGAAGTTAAAGGGCAACTTGGGTTATTTATATAAATATATATATATAAATATATATATATATATATATATATTTTAATGCTGTTTGGGTATGGGGTTGCCGTGGCGACCAGTCAAGCATTCTACTTACTAATATAAAATAAACATTTAGGTATTGTTGTTTGATCTATTAATTATTGTGGTTTGTCTTTTTAATTCATTTTCTTCTTACTTAGCCATTTGCCAAGTTCAGATATATGTGTGACTGTGTAATAGTGTTTGGGAATAAAAAACATGGTAATGAGCAACAACAGCATATACAACAAATGTGATTTAATCAATAATAGATCTAGTGAGTCTCTCCTTTATTAGAAAGTGTTACCATCACTAAAACAAAACAACAAAATAAAAAGAGTCAGGGAGCACAACGCAGAAAAACAATAGCGTCCAATTCTTTAAAGGTCCATGTGTAAGTTTTAGGTGAAAGGATCTACAAATTGAATATAAAATAATCCTAGTGATGTTTTCACTTGTGAGTTTCTTCCAAATTGAGAGAATTGTTGTTTTCTTTACCATAGAATGGGCCCTTTATTTCTAAAAACGTTATATTCACACGGAGGGGGGTCCTCTCTATGGAGGTAGCCATATTATTTACTGTCGTCCAAACTGCACAAACTAAAACCTTTTGAGTTTTCATGACAACTGAAGTTCACCTGAGTTTCCCTGTCATGTTGGGAAGGGGAGGGTGAGATGAGAAGTATTTAGCTGCAGCATGAAACTTCACCTCTAGATGTCACTAAATTCTACACACTGAACCTTTAACTAAAAGAACAAAAACAAACAGTGTCAAAGCAAGGATTTAGAAAAAGAAACTCATGATATAAAAAGTTATATTTTTGATTTACTACCAAAATGATAAGAGAATCAAAAGTCTAATGTGATGAAAAAATAATAAACTATTTGAGGAAC